CATATGTTGACATGCTTAGGGCTGGCAATGTTCAGATTTGGTAATGCAGCTGCGTTACCCAATACTACTCTGCCTTCATATGTATTTGAATATGGTAAGAAAATGCATTCAAAATATCAAACATTCATATCATCACAGAAACCACTAACATGCTGGTTTATTAGCACCACTCGTCTGGTTAGATCAATCAGAAATGTATTTTCCCTCGGACATATACGCTCAAGTACTCAATACTAAACCTTATGTCAACCGTTCGTTGATACCCGAGGACACCCTTCCATCTCCTCTCAATCTCGAGACGATTGATCAACTAAACAATTGGGGCACAGAGGTCTATTTAACATCCACAGTCGATATCACCACCTCCCCTGCCTACTTAACCGGAGTCGTCCCTTCTTCCACAACCGGTCGCACACAAGATGCCATCTCCTGTTCCGTAATTCTCACCGATCATGGAGATGGTTTGGTCGATGTCTTCTATATGTATTTCTATGCCTACAATCAAGGAAACACAGTACTTGGTCAAGAGTTAGGTAATCATATTGGAGATTGGGAACATAACATGATTCGTTTCGTAAACGGTACTCCTCAAACGGTCTGGTACTCGCAACATGCAAACGGACAAGCTTTCAAGTATTCGGTGGTTGAAAAGAGTGGAAAGAGACCAATTGCTTATTCGGCGAGAGGAAGTCATGCTAATTATGCGATTTCGGGAACTCATGATCACACAATCCCGGATTTAAATTTGCCAGCTGGATTACTTCAAGATTATACATCGAGAGGAACAATTTGGGATCCAGTTCTCTCATCGTATTTCTACACATACGATGCTACGACCAAGGAATTTTCAAAAGCAAGTGAGGGTAGTCCAGTTCAGGCTATGGAGTATTTGGGAAAGTGGGGAGATGCTCAGTATCCAGAAGATGATAAGAGACAGAGCAAATTCTTTGGCTTCTGGAAATATGTGGGCGGACCGACGGGACCGGTGACTAAGGGGTTGGTGAGGGAGAAGGTTTGTCCTGACAATGGGATTTTGTGTATTGTGAGGGATATTCTGGGTCCTTAGATGTGGGGTTCGTACCTTTTACTTGGATCTTTTCTTTGGGTGGGTTATGGTGCTTGGAGTATTTTCTTTTCTGGTTGTGGGATGGGATGGGATTTTTGCGGATTGGTTTGGTTTGAGGGTTCTTTGGGTTCTTTGGTTCTTTTCTTTTCTCCTTTGTGTGATGGGATGGGATGGGATAGTTGACTTTTCGTTGGTTTTGGGAGGGTGTATGGATGGGTAGATGGTGGGATGTGATACGACGGGTTAGAATTGGATGCGATGGGATGCGATGTGCTTATAGGTTGTACGAGCTTGTTTTTATGAAAGTTAACGAATGCTGGATGAGATGAGATGGAGTCGGACGATGGGGTATGGTGCGGTGTGGTTGGGTGTGATATGGAATGAGATGAGATGAGATAGGTTGTGTTGGAAATTGTTATCAATAAATGAATGAATGTATGGATGGATGGATGATTGAATGAATAGTTGAGGGAAGTGGATAGTGGATTGTGGATTGCGGATATAAGTTCCTGAGTATATATAGCGTAGTGCAGTATAGTGTAGAATGAGATTATGTATATATTGGATTCGAAATCAAAACTCGAAAGTTGAAGTTGTAATCGAATTTCAGAATAGAAAGTTGGAGTGTGAGACTCGCTTATGTATGTTTATCTAGGTAGGCAATAATGAGGATGAGGCGTTTGTATGTGTGCGGATGAGGGAGTTGATTTGAGTAGTTGAGCAGTTCGGTAGATAATTTGTGAATTCTAGATTGTGAAATGGAGATGATGTGAGAGAAGAAGATATGAAGATGAGAATATAAAAAGAGAGGAGTGGAAATAATATAAGATGATACATTTAGCTTATAGTATTATATATCTCAAGAATGATACCGAGATACTTGATATCTCTCGCCCGTTCACAAAGGAGGACTACGATGTACACTCCACTTGTTATTTAATAGTTAGACCTTATACTGCCCAGTACATATGCGATATGGACTTAAAACTAGCAATCTGTCCCTAGGTATCAAAAGTTGAATTCTGTCACTATTTGTTCCCAAAAAAACGCCATTTGATGATCGAAAGCCCATTGGATAAGGTTAATCACATGATAGCGCCGATATAGTCTAGTGTCTACGCAGACACTTTGAGGATCATGTGACCGAGCGTCTCGAGGGTCAATGCACACGCTAGATTATATCAAAAACCGCATCCCATTATATATCTACATACTTTGTGATATATTACCAGCATTATATTCTAACACAACAACCACATCACCCCATTTTATTTTATTTTATTTTCGCAGAAAACTCGAGACGATGGGTCATCTCGCAACCCTCGCAACGTGCAATCTTAATCAGTGGGCGCTGGATTTCGACGGCAATCAAAAGCGCATTGTTGAGAGTATTCGGCGCGCGAAGAAGGCGGGAGCGTCGTTGAGGGTGGGCCCGGAATTGGAGGTTACGGGGTATGGATGTCAGGATCATTTGTGAGTGTTTTGTTTTGGTGTTGGGAAAGAAGTTTTGAGGAGGAAGGGGAAGGGATGGGGTGGGTAGCGTGGGTTAGGATTTGGAGGTTTGGAGATTTGGATGTTTGAATGATTTCAAAGCTCAAATTGAATTCAGAATTCGAAACTTTCTGGTTATCGAGCTTGCCATCTGGACTTTTGAAACAGCTTTTGAAGAATTGAATTTGAGCTAATTCAAAGTAGTCTGGAATCAGATACAGAATTGCATTCGTGGGAATCTCTAGCGCAAATCATTTCTCATGAGGAATGTCAGGAAATTCTACTTGATATAGGAATGCCAGTTCGCCACAAAAATGTGAACTATAATTGTAGAATTATTGTTTATAACTCCAGGGTCAGGGAGCCGTTAGATATCTTCTTGACGATGAGCTAAACTAATGAAGGAATAGATATTACTCATTCGTCCTAAGCTCTCCTTGGCTTCTGATGGGAATTATCGTGAGCAGAGATGGTTCACACCATGGAAAGGAGAGAGAATTGTCGAGCAGTACTATTTGCCAAGACTAATCACGAAAGTAACGGGTCAGCATAAAGTCCCAATTGGAGATGCTGTTATCAGCACGTATGATTCGTGCTTTGGTGCTGAGACTTGCGAGGAGTTATTCACGCCAAGGGCACCACATATAAATATGTCATTGGATGGTGTTGAGATCTTCACCAACAGCAGTGGTAGTCATCATGAGCTTCGAAAGCTAAACATTCGTCTTGAACTTATCAAGGAAGCTACTTTGAAGGCTGGAGGCATCTATTTGTATGCCAATCAGCAGGGCTGCGATGGAGATCGTCTTTACTATGATGGGTCCGCCATGATTGTTGTCAACGGTAAAGTTGTCGCTCAAGCAAGTCAATTTTCTTTATACGATGTAGAAGTGGTGACTGCCACTGTTGATCTAGAAGAGGTGAGGGCATATAGAACCTTCAGATCCCGTGCTATGCAATCGAGGGAAACCGCAGCATACGAAAGAATCGAAGCCGGTATGAGCCTTTCGAGCGATGCTGAGGACGTGAACCCTTTGGTGCGACCTACTAAGGAAATTCCAATCAAATATCACGTTCCTGAGGAAGAGATTGCGCTTGGTCCAGCTTGTTTCTTATGGGATTATCTTCGTCGATCTCGTCAAGCGGGATATTTTGTGCCACTCTCTGGAGGAATCGATAGTTGTGCTACTTCAGTCATAGTTCATTCAATGTGTCGAATCGTCTATGCAGCAATTAAGAAAGGCGACAATCCGCAAGTTGTTGAAGATCTGCTCAGAATCGTTGGGGAAGAGGAAGATAGCAAATGGCGTCCATCCAGCTCACAGGATATTGCCAATCGCATCTTCCATACTGCTTATATGGGATCTCAAAATTCCTCGGCAGAGACACGAGGTCGCGCCAAGGATTTAGGTGGAAAGATTGGTAGTTACCATCTTGATTTCAATATTGACACTGTTGTCTCAGCAGTCACCACATTATTTACAACCGTTACCAGTTACACGCCTAAATATAAAATGTATGGAGGCACGCCGGCATCGAACTTGGCATTGCAAAACATCCAAGCTAGACTTCGCATGGTCTTAGCTTATCTCTTTGCCCAACTCTTACCTACTGTTCGTGGAAGAACAAAGCCCGGATCGTTGTTAGTTCTAGGATCTGCAAATGTTGACGAATCACTCAGAGGTTACTTCACAAAATACGATTGCAGTAGTGCAGATATCAATCCCATTGGCGCCATTTCCAAAACGGATTTGAAAAGATTTATTCTTTGGGCCAGTACAGAATTTGAAATGCCGCTCCTCCAAGACTTTATCGACGCTCCACCAACTGCTGAACTCGAACCTATCACCGAGGACTACGTACAGAGTGATGAGGCTGATATGGGTATGAGCTACAACGAGCTATCAATCTACGGTCGTCTTCGCAAAGTTGATAAATTAGGACCTTATGGAATGTGGACCAAACTTCTACATGAATGGGGTCATGTTCTTTCCCCGAGAGAGATTTATGAAAAGACCAGATGGTTCTTTTGGTGTTATTCTATTAATCGTCATAAGATGACTACCCTTACACCGAGTTATCATGCTGAGCAATATTCACCCGATGACAATCGATATGATCTGAGACCATTCCTTTACCCAGGCTTCTCGTTTGCGTATAGAAAGATCGAAAAGGCGTTAAGTGCTATGGGAGTTGCTGCGGATAAGAAACCTGAGGTAGAGGAGGCAAAGAAGAATGAATAGATAGATGGTTTCCTAGATTGACAATTACTCGGTCCGACTTAGATAGTATTAGAAGTCAATTAGAACCAACTTTCATACTTTATCCATCCTTCAATCGGTGATGCACATCAAGAGTCCCTAGCACCACAAGACCCATTGGAAGAACACCAGACCAATCATCCAACTACCATCAACATTCTCCATCACATCTCCATAGTACATCACGCCCCACCATTCCACCCCTTCACCACCCTCGTCTTCCCCTTCCACTGCTCCCACCTAACTCTCCCCCTACTCCCCCAAGGCCAAAGCACATGCGTCAATTTTCCAGTAATCAAATTTATCGCAATCGGTCCATAGTGATTACTATCTAACGTTTTCCTCGCATCGGCATTGTCGCCCTCGACCCAGACGTGGCCCGCAGGTATATCGGCATACGGGTAGGGATAGGGAGCGTGCGTGTAGACGCGGTCACCAGGGAGCGCGATGATGCGTTTTATTGCTAGGGTTTCGGGGTGATAGGGGGATCTATTTGGGGGGGAAGGAGGATTAGCTTGAGCTTTGTATTTCATATTTCATATTTTGAATCTTGCATCTTGCATCTGGATGGGGAAATGAAGAATGCGAAATTGCAAGCCGCAGAATCAAAATAGGACAAGCAGAACAGGAAATGTAAAACCCACCTAAAAGAAACAAGCATCCCCCTCTCCAAATCCCTCCCCTTCCTCCTCTTATCCACTAAACACACATCGCGCGTCAAACTCTCATTATACCCCGTATTCAGAAAGGGATACATGGATGCGCCATTGATGATATGCAGCTCAGCGATGTGGTCTTGGAAGAAAATGGAGGCGGGGATCCAGGAGGCGATGATGAGGGACCAGTAGGTGAATTCTTTGAGGAAGGGGGGGATGCGGGAGGTTGTGGATGTGGGAGAGGTGGAGAATTTGCGGGAGTTTTTGGCTTTATTTTTGAAGAGGGATGAGGAGTTGAGAATTGAGGGGAGAGGGATGGGAGAGGTTTTCAGGAAGGTGAGGAGCCGGGACATGGTTTTTTGGAGGAGGGGAGGAGGGGCATTTTGCAGGGGAGAGAGAAGGCTGAGGTGTAGGTGGGTGGGAAAATGTGGTGGTTTCTCAGCCTTGTGCGTGGGTGGGTGCGGTGGGTTGTGAAGAGTATGCGATATTAAATACCTCCATCAACTCCATGGATAAACATCTAATAAAACAATGTTTCATTATTTTCCATTTATATCAAGACCAATTTGAATCCTTTGAATAACCTATATAAATTGAAGTATAAAAAATCCTTATAAATATACTTCTAAATTCTAAATACGTTTTTAGCTTAACTTAAACAGAGATCTCTTTTTAGAGTTTACTAGTAAGTAAACAATTCACGAGATAAGTCGGGTACCCTACTTTCGGGCCACCCCCCTTTTGGGCCACTTTTTACATCAAAAATGGAATTTTTAATTTTCTTATTTATAGATAGAATTCATTGAAAATTTATATATATATAATTTATATCATTTTTAGCTTATCTTGAAAATTTCAGATTTTTAGGAATTTCCTGTATTGAGATCTAAAGCTTTAAAATATCGATTCTTAAATTTATATAAGAATCACATATAAATTTGAAACTTTTATAAAATCTTTAATAACTTTTTAATAAAAATTATTAAAAATAAACTATAAAATTTTATTATAAATTACAATATATTTATTTTGAAGGATTTAGAAAAAAAAAGAAAATTTCCTATAAATAAATACTTAAAAGAATACCTTTAAAATTATAGGGATTATGTTACGACGGTATCCAACATACCGCATCACATGATCAGGAAGTCACGGGATTAGGGACTCCCACTGGATCCCACTGCTCCTACCTGATGGGATACAATGGGATCAATAGGACAACAGAGAACGAAGGTCTATATAAGGGAATGGGTTTCATTACAATATAGAGCTTCGTGCTCAAGAACAATTATTAGTTTTATTACTATAATTACGAGAATTGCAATCAGTTACAATCTTATTAAATTCCTACTTGAAGTTTAGTTTAAACCACCTCGAGAGAACTCTAGACACTTCCACATAACCCTAGAGGCAGCTCCCGTAACAGATTATTTATATTATTCTAAACTCATTGTATATTATATCTTTATATCTATTAATTTTTTTTAATTTTTTTTTTAATTTCTATATAGATTTAAGTTTAAAACTTTCAAAAAGATATATAGTTTTCTTTTAATGATTATTATTAAAAAGTTATTAAAGATTTTATAAAAGTTTCAAATTTGTATATAATTCTTATACAAATTTAAAAATCGATATTTTAAAGCTCTAAATCTCAATACAGAAAATTCCTAAAATTTTCAAATTTTCAAAATAAGCTTAAAATGGTTTAAATTATATATATTTAAATTTTTATTATATTAGATTATATATTGATAGAGATATTAATAGGCTAAAAAAGCGATTTTTGGTGTAAAAGGGTGGCCCAAAACAGGGGTGGCCTGAAAGTAGGGTGGTCGACTTACTCGAAAGAAAATACAATTTTACATCAGAATTCATCATCTTCAAAGTTTTAATATTATTCATGTCTTCTAAATAAAATATTTTCATGAGAAATTATCTATTCAATCAGAAAAACTTCAATTTAATCTTGATAATATAAAGAATCCTTATGCTTGAAAACTGTTTACTTCAATTGTAAAAAGATTCATAGAACCTTTGAAATTTAATTGAATTATTCAAATCATCTTTTTGGTGTAAAATTGTACTATAACAGAGGCCGATAACGCGCATTTGGACATTTGGACAATACACTAAAAATGACTGTAGCTGCTAGACACCATAATATCCTGAATATCAAGTCTAGTAACAAAATAAATAAGTATTTATCTTGATTAACAGATGTGAGATTATATCCTCGCAGCTAGTATCTGAAAGGACTGTTTTGCAGTATGCTATGCTTGATACAGATAGCGAGTTGTGTATATACTATATGTTCTTGAAGAAAGAAGAAGTTGAACGCTCACGAAGCTCTCGGAAGAAATCCTCTCTCAGACTATGTCTTGGCTTCTAGGTAATCTTACCACTGCGGCTATAGATTCACTCTCTAACCTCATTTCCGTTCTTCTCCAAATTTCCCATCTTCCCTTCCTCTCTGACCAGCAAAACAATATCTATCTATCCCAAATTACATTAGAATACCTACGTTGGGTGTGTAACTTCGCATCCAATCCCCGAGCCGAAATCTCCTCATCCGAGTCCGCGAAAATAACCCAAACTGGTGATCCAGCTCTTCCTGTAAAATATCACATCCCCTGGTGGTGTAATTGCATATACAGCATGCAAATGGTAATGGGAATAGGGATGTGAAAGCAAACCCCCAAATTCAAATGGTATCTCCATATGCGCATCCACAAGTCCCAAGATCGATAGATGAAACGGAACGAAATCTGTAGACGCAAATTTCATCTACACCTATAGACTATAAATACATAGGTATCCTTCGATTCTGGAGTTCCTCTCTTCAAATTTCAGATTCGCATTCATTTATTTCATCTTCAACTATATCCAAAGAGAACCATTTCACCCATCGCCTGGCACTTACAACTAACTATTCCTATCCCGATTCTCAGACAGATGAGCTCTGGAATCACTATACCTACTGCGAAGTACTTTCGTTTCCTTCCTTTCCTTCTTCTCATACTCCACTACTCCGCTGCTAAAGTTCGCACAACATTATTTTTCTTCTCTGATATAGAGATTCTTTTCTTCAAGACTATATAGGTACGATGTTTTTCGTGGAGCGGAGTGCACGTGGAGTTAAAGACGCGACGAGCGCGATGAGATAGAGCAAGTGGCATATAAATATCGTCGTTGCTGTCGATTCGATTCGACTTGGAGCGATGATATAATATACATCTAAAACTAGCTTGATATGACTAGCAATCTATACTGAATAGTTGAAATGTATGAATGTTTATTCGAGACAGATTTTGTAGATTGAGAGTTACTCGTATACTGTACGAATTAATATTGCTTTCATTTCATACAGTACCTATAAGTAATTGAAGATAATTACATCATACATGCCTATCTATATATTCACAAAATTAATATTAATATACTTATCAGTATAAATACATACCTAGTGGGTAGATATAAATGCAAGTCAGTCCTCCTTACCTACCTACCCTTCGCAATAGCTAGTACTAGGTACATAGTCAATAGATATCACACTGAATAAATCTCATAATCACAACAATTTCAAGGGGGAAAAGGATGTAGATGATGTTGTTATTGTTATTATCTGACTCATGGTATGACTGAGTAGCCTTAGATCTAGGAGGAAGATTAAGGGAAGAATACAACCTTATATTTGGAAGTTAATTGGAGAGATAGAAACCTAGAGTATTTATTTATCACTTCTACCTTTCAATTCACGATATAGAACAAATCTCTCATGCATGAACTTGAATATTCTTTTGATTTTTTTTCAATTATATTGGATTATTTAGATACTATCTGGCGATGTATCATCATCGATCTATGTATCCATTGATATCTCCCTCTTTATCCTCATCTCCTTTTTTCGTCTACATAGACGAATGATCAATTATCATTACTCCCACTCATCTGTTCGAGTATCTAATTTTAGATATATTCCATATCCCATCTTCTCCTTTTCCCCTTGCCAGATATTTAAAATCTAGCATCTAGCATCGATCATCCAAATAAATAGAAAATAAAATCTTAAAAAGGAACGACAAGAAATAATTAAGTAAACACCACAAATCTAAACTCCCGAATCCTCCTGAATAACCGCATGTCCCGTCCACGCCGCACACGTATCCTGTAACTGCGTAGTATCCAACAGTTTTGGGATTTCGCTTGCGCGCTCCAAGAACTGCATTGCGAATCCCATGCTGGTGTGCCATCCAATATGACAATGCATGAGCCACGCTCCGGGATTATCTGTCTCGAATGCAAGAACGAGATATCCGCCTCCTGGTAAGGTGGCTACGTCTCTGCGTGGGGGATTGTTGAGATTGTATGTGGAAACGGCGGTTGCGGCATCGAATGTGGTGGCCTGCTGGCTGACGACGAAGAAGTCGTGGCCGTGGAGATGGATGGGATGGGGAACGGGAAGAGCGCTGTGGATAACGATGTAGATCCATTCATTCGCGTTAGGTATCGCGACGAGATTATCCGGTGTGCCGAATGCGGTGATGTTGTTTTCAACCATGAGAAGGGTTGGGTCATTCCATTCTGAGAGGAAAGTAGAGTTGTTGAGATACCATTTGAAAAGTTTCTGGGAATTTTGAGCAACGGTGACTGCTTCTTCGGGACTCTGGGAAGCGGCTGAAACGGTTTTCGGGAGATACGGAACGAGTGAGGAGACAGGTTCGTCAACACATTCATCTGTGAAAGTGTAGCCGGTGGTTGTAGGGAGACCGGTTGAAGAACCATAGTGGAGCACACCTCGAATGTTATTTGAGTTATCGTTTTCGGAGCAGGAAGATTGAGGAATGGCGCGGATGAAGAAATCGGAAGCTACGGATGCTTGATTCGCAGTGATGACTACATCGTAGCGTTGTCCTGTGAGAAGAGCGTTAGTAGGAATTTATATAGTGATGAGGGAGGATAATACTAACCGATAGCAATGTTGAGAATCTCAGTCTGATACGGAACAATAGGAACGAAATCCATCGCCATAACAGTCATAGTATGACTATCGACTGAGAACTTGAACTGGGTATCGATGGCACTATTTACAAGACGGAACCTGTATGATTTGCCTGATTCGACACTAGTTGCGAAACGAGAACCCGTTTGGTTACTAGCACCATCCTCTCCGAAAACGTTGGTACCATTGATGAGACCTGTAGTCATCGATTGAGGACCAATAGTTTGAACTTTTTCATACAACTCATCAACAGTTTGATGTCCCCAATCACTGAGCATAAGAATCCCCTTATCCTCATCATAATTAGCCGTGGCAGGACCATTGATAATAATACCACCGGTAACACCTTCCCATGCTTGAAGTCCAACATGAGAATGATACCAGGATGAACCATATTGAGTAGCTCTCCATCTGTAGGTATAAGTAGTTCCATATGCAATAGGACATTGGGTAACTGATGGAACCCCGTCGTTTTGATTGGTATTTTTTTGATGGATACCAT